ATGTAGCCTATCAAGTATTTTTTTTTCTTTCGTAGCATGCCGTTTTCATCTGTAGAAGCCATCATTAATTTTACTATTCTCTTCTTTTCGTTCTGTTTTTTTTTGCTCATCGTTTCAATCAACATACTTTCTTTTCTTGTGTCTCTTGTGCCTACAGTAAACTAGTATCAACCTTGGTTATAAGGATGGACTGCCGAAAATCTAGAATTGTTTCAAACTAGTTCAGATGTTTCGAACAAGAAGCAATGTCAAAAGAATATTAATTTCGCAGAAATAATAATGGAACTTTAATTTCGATAACAAAGCAGCACTCAAGGGTGTGATTGTGGATGTGGGTGTGAGTAGGGTGTGCGTGAAAATTGGGTTGGAGGTCACTAATACTCTCGTTTGCTGCACGCTTATAGATCCTGATAGATCCTGGTAGACTGTTTCAATGAGTCTATTCCATAATATTTAAAAATTTTCAATTAATTTGTAGTTTGTCTGTGCCATAACCTATTACAGGATCTAGAAATAGCTGTTGCTCTAGTTTAATGAGAACAATTCAGAAAAAGATCGAAAAACATAGGACCAAATCTTAGAAAGTTTGGAGAGTGACTTTATTTTATTCGGAGTAGTGTAAAATCAATAATTTAATCAGGTTATCCTTTAATTATTTAGTTCATAATAACCTACAAAGTCAGAATTGTTTGAATTTGGAAGAAATATATCATAGATGAAGATGCTAGATGTAACAGTAGTGCTCCTCAGTTCGCATGTATGCAAATTAAATTTGAATTATATTTACGTTGCGTGAAATACTGATCGACACTATTTCACTCAGTTGGTTTTTTATTGTCTATATCGACCTCCTTCAAGTCAAGATTTTGAATGAGGTGTTTTGCCTTCTTATTTTGTCTGTAAAATGTTGTACAGATGTGTACACTAAATTGCCGAAAACCATTCTGATGTAAGTTTCTTTATAAGCAACAAACACACAATAATAGGGATTCATCAACTAAAACTAGCTCTAACGACTAATTCAAAGTTTGATTTATAGCTTTAGACGGAAGAGGACCTTGCGAGAAAATGTGAACGTAAATATGAGTTTCTTTGTGCAATGGTTAGCATTGTTGACGATTACATAGCTACACTGTAAAAGAAAATGGTCTTTTACGAAATTTGAAAAGGCTATTCACATGGATCTAAACTGGAAACCTTTTTTCGGTTTCTTATGACCACTGCTTGAATAATATTAGCCTTACTTAATTAGCCCTATATCTTTATTTCTATACGTCGATTGTTATTGCTATATTTAATCCTTTATAACAAACTATAGTCCCTTATTCCTATACTGAATCCCTTGCAAGAATACAAAATGCTTTTATATCATTTAGAACTGTCAGAATGCCTCTACAAATCATACAGAAGTATTTATATTACTAATCCATACAGAACTTCATAAGAAAGATGTGCAACTTGTTTTTTATCAACAGAAGACACGATGGTTTCTTGTGAAACGCACAAAACTTGTTGCTATGGTTATAAACCCACAAATGCTGTAGCATGAAAGACATCAAAAACGTTTGATATAAAAAATCCGAGACCTTCAATGTTCAGAAATAAGCCTATGTTTTTCGAGTGTATGACAATGTTCCAAAAATTATTCATTTCTGTAAGTGCAACGACATCTTCCTATCTTTCAGAAACGAGTCAGAAAACCCGTGGGATAAGCGCTACTTGTGTACATGCCTACCTGTAAATTGTTTCCGATTGTAGAAGTCAAATTATATGCACTCCTCAATCAACTTACGTTCGAAAGAAAACTATTTGGTTTTCATATCTCTCGGAAGTAATGTGATAGTTCCCACACAAACGCTATGCACATAATTGTGCTTTACAAACTCGAAAAATACAAGTAAGATGTTTGCTTTCGACGATGACTGTTTTGTCGAAACAAAAAATTAAATTCGCGTCCTTGTTTGCTTTGTATTTTATGTTAGATGTTGTCTATAAGTAAAATAAAAAAAATCTTTTCTACATAGAATGAAAAAAGGTAAATGTCATTATTGCACGCTATTTATTTATTCAACCCACGTTGTGTAGGCAAAGTGTATTGATGGCAACGAACAAATGTGTTGCTTTCAGTTTCTATTGATTCTAGAAGGCCACATGCTTTCATTCTATTCAACCATCATTCACAAGCAACTACTGTTGAAAAGAAATGAATTGTTCTTATTCATATTTTAACTAGATATTTCAAAGAACGAAATTTTTTTAATACATTGAGTAGAAAACTATTCTCGGTTGGTATGATTATTGTGTGATGCTAGCTTGTCTCTAAAATATGATAAAACTATTGTATTGATAAAAACTGCATATAATCAATAGCTTTTATGAAACACCAACTAAAAAGATTGATGAAGTGTAGAGCGAGACTTTTGAATCCTCACCTAGTTAGAGTCGTGGCAGACACCTGAATGATGCCACATCCTAGACTTAGGCACATATATACTTGAAAATGGAATCGATTATAAATTTATACGAATTTCAATCTAGGAAATATTGTTCATAAGGATTTTCTTACTTTTACAGCTGTTTGAATTCATGTCAAGCTAAAATTGATATTTTTAAGCAAACTTTTGACCAAGTTACAGTTGGCAAGAAACTTTTATTATATATTATTAATACTTCAATAATGGGCGGCTGTACTCTGTGTTGGAGCATCTTGCAATCAGTGATGGAATCATTTTGAAACAAAAACGGAACAAGGAAATCGCATATGGCAGAAAGCTGTGTTGATTTTGACTACAGCTTGTTGTTCCTCATATCATTGATGCGTTAATTTTTCATTATTTATCGATAGTATAAGTAGAATGATAGAGACAATGTGTAACGTAATGAGACTGATAGTGTGACCTGTATATGGAATTGGTGCTGATACGGATTTAGTGCGGATCAATCTGTTTACAGACTGGTGTATTCATTGGCTACTACTATACGATATTCTTTTTCTGGTTTCGAACGGTCACAATCGATCAATCAAATCGGTACATCGACCAGCTCGATATTAACTGTTGTCGTCAAACAACCAGATGGATTCTATTTATCATATAAGTACTAGAGCAGCGAATCGAATTTTCAAGTTCGATGTTGTTAATGAATATTGACACAAAACGCTATGGCTTCTCAAAATATGTTTCTTTATGGAAATAAGCGTTAAAAAAAAATTATTCTTCTTGTCATGTGTCGTGTAGCTTAAGGATACAAGGTTAAGGGTATTTGTCTAAGGTTACAGGTATGGGGTATATGTATAAGTGAGCACAAGTTTACTGATGGCTATCATTTCACTTTATTACGATCGTGAACGTTAATGTTTACATCTATATTTGTCAAAAGTGAAACCGT